AGACACCGCAGCCTGTGTGCCTCCTTCCGGGTCTCGCCGCCACTCTGGGCCCAGCCTGGGGCGTCCACCCCCACCCCCAACAGCCCCAGCGGGAGGAGCTCCCTGTCTTCCCGCCCCGGAGGAGCACCCACGGCTAATTCATGGTCCGACCCAAAGCGCCTCCGCAGGACGTAGGGGTTCACCTGACGGTTTTGGAGGGTTTTGGAGGGACAGTTGTTTTTTGGGACACATTTCCCCCTCCAGCATCCTGGACACGCGTGGCGGTGCAGCCGCCTTTGGGGCCCAGCAGGCCTTCCCTTTGGAACTGGGGTGGGGTTGGCTGCCCCGCTCTGGCACCTGCCCCGCCCTGGCACCTGCCCTGCTGACTCCCCAGCGTGATGGCCCCACGAGGGGACCCCGGCTCCAGGGAGGTCGCAGACGTGTGGAGTTGATGCCCTGGCCTGGCATGTGGTCCCCATCACAAGAGTCCTGTGGTAACCTCTCTAGTGCCGTCACCGAGTGGAGGTGGGCAGCTTGGAGGCTGGTTATACCCACCCCCGAGTCTGGGGGCATGGAGGGAGCAGTGACCTGGGGCACAGGCTGGGGTGAGGGGTGTGACCAGAGTCAGGGAGAAACTGGAGACCTGAGGAGCCCCCCATTTCACTGCTGGCCCCACTGTGGACAGTGGGAGTTTGAGGGGCGACAGAGCCTGAAGAACTCAGAGATGTTTCCAGCGCAACCCAGTGCAGAATCCTAGCGTTTTACTATTTTCCCCCAAACGTGACAGTGGTCCTCACATTGTAGCCGTCACAGAAGCGACTCCTTGGACCTGATTCCATCCGTGTACACCACAGTTTAATGGCAGGAGCTAGATCACCAGCCTCTGCAGCTTAGGCGAGGGCACAGGAAGGGGGTGCCCCGCCGTCCTCCTGGCGGGCGGGGGAGTCAGACACCACCCGGGACCTTTAGTGCAGCCGTGTGTCCCCTGAGCTTCCACATCCTCTGGGCCACCCAGGGTGAGCCGTCCACACCTCCAGGAATCTGAGTGGTCTCAGGAGCAGCCTTGTCTTGGCATTGGCAGGATCTGTCTCACCAGCGTAACTTTGATCCCAGTGTATCCCATAGAGTCCCTTTAGATCACAGGGCTGGGGGTGTATCTGCCCCCTGAGTTAGCCTGAAAAGTCAAGCTTTGTGTCCCCAGGCCCTCAGGGTGGACTGCCAGCCATGTGGGTTCTGCTGAGGGTGAGAGCCAGTGCGAGCCTGAGTCAGCGCCCCGAGGGCCATGTGGAGACTGCCCTCGCCCAGCCTCCAGGTCACACACACCCCTGTCTTGCAGCATCA